CCGCAGCCGCAGCCGCCAGCCCGCCCCGGAGCTGCCCCTCTTTTTGTTTTTCTAAGGCTCTCCCTCTCCCCACACCTCCCTCCCCCAGAAAACAGATACTGGGGGCTCCGAAAAGGGCGAAGGGCCGTAAATCAGAGTTGGACCTGTAATTCTCCCCGCACCTAGGGGGCAACCATGACCGAGGAGAGCTCCGACATTCCCCGCGAGTTGATAGGTAAGGCTGGCGCGGCGGCGGCGGGTGGGTCGTCTTCCTGGGTCGCTTCCTCCGCCACCTCCCTTCCCAGCTGCCCCTCCCGCGGGTCCCGCCTGGCCTGGGGACCTTAGGTCCGGGCGGCGTGGGGCAGAGTCGCTGAGGGCCGGGGGCGGAGCGGGGTGGGGGGAGCTGGGAAGTTTGCTCCCCTCTGACCGCCTGCAGAGCCAAGTCCGGAATGGAGGGCTGGGGAAGGGGATCGGGAGCCCGGGAGCGGAGGGTCGATCTCTTGGTCCTGTCCGCATCCTGTGGTCCGGTTTGGTGGAAGGAGGGAGCGGGCTGCCTCAGTGTTGCGAGTTCTGGAGGCGAGAGAGAACCCTCGCCCACGGCTCCGAAACTCTGGAAAGTCTGGGAAGGCTAACGACACTGTAGGTCGCCTCCAGTCCGTGCTCCTCTACCAGACTTGAGGCATTAACTGGCAGAACCCTTGGCCTGCCAAGGCGTGCTTTGGTGTAGCCAGCTGGGAGTGAGAGGGTTACCAGACTGACGCAAACTCCGGCCAGGAAATTTTAGGGTTAATAATAAAAAATACCTTATTTTAATAATGATTAACCTACTGATCCTTCTCTTCCTCCCTCCCCTCCCCCCCTCAATTAAGGAACCGGTGTGTGTGTGGAGGGGGGGAGAGGAAGGTACTCTATGCAAGGTGACTCATTGTTTGAAGCCCTTGAAGCTTTTTCTTTTTGCAGGGGGAGGTTGAGGGAACCTGGATTGGAAGTTTGAGTTAGTTATCTGGAGGGTTCAATGGTAGGCCTAAAATAGGTTGGGGGAGTGTTCTAAAAAACCTAGCGTTTAAGCTTGTGTGTAGAGGTTGGTGTTGTAACAAGGTGAGCTTGTCTGTGCGGGTGTGCTTGGAGCCCCAGTGACCTATATTCCCGACTGTTCCATCCTTCCATCCTTGGCACTGTTATAAATCTGGGTGGAAAGGAGGATGTTTAAGCCCGACTGACAACTGGTGGAAGTTCCCAGAGTCCAGTTCATCTTTGTCTGTGGAATTGGTCCTTCTGTTTGCTCCTTGTAGCAAGAATACTGGAGAAGAATTTGTGTGTGCCTTCCCTTTCCTTGAGTCACTGCAAACTCAGCAGGTGGAACTTGATAGGAAGAAGCTGTTGCTGCTACTTCTGTATGGAACACTCTGCTTTTTGTTGAAACGAACAAGAAACAAAACAGCTTGTGCCTTTAGGGAGGTCTAGAGTATGAAGATAGAGCCAATTGTACACCCTTAACCCCCTTATTCCTGGCCCTCCTCCTCAGCACTGTGTAATCAGTTCCTGAGATAAAGTATCAGTCTTTGCTGGAGTGAGTAGCCAGTCGGTTCTGGGTGTTTCTAACACCCCACTGAGAAGAGGAAGCTAATTCTGGAGGTTCTGAAGATGTCTCCAAGAGTAGCAATTTTTAATTTGTGTAAATGGTTGTTCTTGAGTCCAGATGTGAGGAGTTTAAGGGATTACTTTGACTCATGGGAAAGGGTGAAGGATAGGGTAGAAATAAGATATCTGGTTTATATTAATCTTTGTCAAAATAAATACTTGAGCATATTTGAAAAGTTGAATTTGACCTCTATCCTGAAATGGAATCTTTGTATTTATCACCCATCTGTTTTATGTATCTTTCAGCCAAGTGACATGGTTTTATGATATTTCTGCTATGATTTGTCTAGGCCTTGAAGTGGTGTAACCAGACCATAGGCTGGGATGAAGAAATACCATCATCTAAATAAGAATTTCAGGCTCTTGCAAGAGTTCTGCTCTGATCAATTTAATATGGTGACCATGGAAAGACCTCAGTCAATTGCCTTCAACTAATCTTCCAGGGCATTTAAACAAAGTATCTTTCTAACTATGAAATTAACACAGGAGTTCAGTTCAATTTTTTTTTAATACAGAGGAGAATATATGTCACTCATATTGATACTCAGAGATAGCTATTTTTAAATTCTGAGTATATGGCTTCCAAGTCTTTTTCTATATGCAAATATTCTTATGTGTATTTCACATGCCCATTTCCCATAATTCTTTCTTAAGGAGGGAGTAGCCTGGGGAGATATGAGCTGCCCAGAGAACTTGGAGGACCATGACCTCCCCCACATTTCCCACTGTCCCTCATTCTACATCATTGGGCTCCTTGAACAGGCTGTACTTCTGCAAACTTCCCTGCCCTGCTTTGTGATGACAATTGCTTTTCTTTACTCTTTAATTACCAATCAAAATAATGGTACTAAACTTTTGAAGTACTTTTGGTCACTTTTTAATATACATAGTTATAGAACTACTCAACCTACTTTCTTTAGTGTGTATAATTTAAAACAATAACACTTTGCAAATAAAAGTAAAAGTTTTCTCTTGTTTTCTCAATAGATTGTATAGGATAGTCCACTTTGAAAGTCAGTGGGCTATTTACTATGTCTATAGCTAAATGGGCCTTTCCTTGCTGAAACCTCTTCTAGTTACTTTGTAATCTGTGATCATGTGTGCGGTGCATAAATTACTTTTCTTTTTTCTTTTTCTTTCATTTCTTTCCCTCCCTCCCTCCCTTTCTTTTGTGATGGTGATGGTATTAGGGTTTGAACTCAGGGTCTCCTTAGGAAAGCAGGGACCATCTTTGTCTAGCACATAGTTGAGGTATGTACATGTATTTGTTAAATATGTGGATAAGCCAGAATGATTACACAACAGAATACAAAGCTATGAAAACCTAGAAGAGGTAGCTATGTTTGGAAAGATGAATAGAGTATAACTAGCAGGAGAATAAGGGAGAGACAGCCCAGCAAGGAGAATAATATGCTCCTAATCTTAGGGGTATAAAAGGTAGAAATGCCTGGGATGGTTGGATTTATTGGAATGTACTGAGAAGATAAGTAGAAAAATGTGAAAGACCTCAATGACATACTATGAGGTTTGGGCTGAGCCAAAAATGACCATGACTCAGACGAAGAGTGATATGATGGGGCTTGTGGATTTAGAATGGTCACTGTGGTTATGAAAGCAGCAGTGAGCCAATAGATTAGAGGCCATTGTTAGTTTCTATGACAGAATCTAAGGCCTTGAATGCAGTTAGGCCCGGAAGATGAGGAGCTGTTTTGCAGATAGAGTAAAAAAATAATGTCTGACACAGTGTCTTGAGAGAATTATCTGGAGATGAGCAATATTAGCTTCATTAGTGGCCAGAGGAGGAGATAAGTTTGATGTGGGACATATTTCAGGTTCAGATACTCACAGGAGTTTCAGGAAGACTTTTGTACCTTCTTCCTTTGAATTTTAAAGTCTTTCCTCTCCTCCTTCTGTTTCCCTTGCTTTTTTTAAAAGCACCTTTTGGGATATTGCGCCCTGATGATTTTAAAACAGATGGTATACTCTTTTCTGGGTAAGTCTTTTGGTCTAGTTGTGTGGTTCTTTCCATGTTTCCTAAACTTCATGGCAAGTCACTTATGATCTACGTCACTGGTCAATCCAGAGGCTGCTAGGTAGGAGTCAGACGTATTCAACTTAAGACTGAAGGCCCCTAGGAATTAGTGTGCTCATGGTCTGCATGTGGTATAGTGCTTTGTTATCCAATATAGTGCTCTACCATACTGCCCTGCATAGCTCAATGTGTGTGTGGTGTGTGTGTGTGTGTGTGTGTGTGTGTGTGTGTGTGTGTGTGTGTGTGTGTGTGTGTGTGTGTGGTAGCATAGCCTGTTTTCCCAGCAGGATTATCTCATGCTTTGCATGAGCTGGCATCATGTCATAATTTTTTATATGTGCTGCACAGGAAAAGGCCCAACATAGTTGTTGATGAACTACTTGTGTGTATGTGGGAGGGGGAGCTGGTACTAGGGCTTAACTCAGGACTTGGACACTGTCCCTTAGTTTTTTTCTCAAGGCTGGTATTCTACACTTGAGGCAAGGCTCCGCTTCTGACTTTTTGCTGTTTAGTTGGAGATAAGAGTCTCTGACTGGGGGCTGGGGGGAGGATAGGGTGGGAAGGTGGGGGTGGGGAGGGAGGCTTGGAAGGGATGGGAAGGGGAAACAAAGGAGGAGGCTACAATGCTTGATAAGAAATGTACTCATTATCTTGCCCATGTAATTGTAAAGTTTCTGACTTTTCTGCCCAAGCTGGCTTCGAACGTGGTCCTCGGTTCTCAGCCACTTGAATAGGTAGGACAGGTATGAGCTACCAGTGAAAAAGGTAATGAGCTTTTTGATGGTAATGGTCTGGGAATGTAGCTCAGTGGTAGAAGTCTGCCTCATGCCCAACAAACTGCCAAAGGAAAAGAAAGACAACAAAACCTTTTTCAATGCTTTCTTCTCTCATTAATAAAAGAATATAATGAAGTTATTGCCTTCTTTCAGAAAGCATAAAGGATGTGATTGGCAGAAAGATAAAAATTGCAGTGAAGAAGAAAGTAAAGTTGGAACTGAAGGGAGACAAAGTTGAAAATAAAGTACTGGTAAGTACTACCATTATTTTTTATTGAAATGTTTGGAAGTAAAAGTGTCTTTTCCCTCCACTGTTTTGATTGTGTAATTTTTTTACACAGAATTACATCTGGTATTTTATATTTTGTTAAAAAGATCTGGTAATCTTTTCCCATTAAATTAATGGGAATCTTTGTTGAAAAAGTTAAAAAATAAAATCATTTAAAGTTGGAATTAAAAGTAAGATCACTTAAAGATGGAAAGTTTAAACTTATTCCTTCAGGTTGTGACTGTGTGTTTTTTTTTTTTTTTTTTGCAGGGGCTACAGTAAGTTTTGTGCTGGCTAGACAGGCTTTCTTGCACTTGAGCTACGCCCCCATCCCATAGCTTATTATCTTTGATGTGGTGGCTGATCTATGACTTTATTTACCATAGTTTATGGGGGAGTTTAAAAAGTTTCAGGTCATTTGGGCTTACTTGTGTCAACTTTCTTGAAGGGTAATGAGCAGAGGATGTGAACAAGGCATTTGTCAGGTTTTTCCAGGTTCTGGTGTTCCTGGGGAAATGCTAGCTGGTGGTAGTAACTGCTAGTATGGCCGTTGGACTTGGGCTTCCAGTTTGTTTGAATTTCTAGGGGCTGAAGAATTGGACCCATTGTGGACAAATTTTTAGGGCACATATAGTGACTTACTAGTATAAGTGAAAGTATTTTGTAGTATTTCTAGGTTGAGATTATGGCAAACCAAAATTGAATGTGGATAGAGAGTTTTTATTTTTTTTTGTATGTGTATGTGGTACGGGTGTTTGAGCTCTGGGCCAAGTGTTGTACTATTGAGCTATTCCTCCAGCTCATTTGGCTTTTGTTATTTTACAGATAAGTTCTTGCTTTTTTTCTTTTTTTTTGGCCAGGCTGCCTCAGACCATGGTCCTCTTACCTATTTAATTCCCCTACTAATGCCTCCCAAGCAGCTGGGTTTTTAGCAGGTGCCATGCCTAATTGCGAGAACACTGTTTAACTCTGCATCATGGAAACTTCCAAATACATGCACAATTAGAGAATTGTACTGAATCCTGCAAATTTGTCATTCAGCTCCAACAATTTGTGCTGCTTTGCCAATCAATATTGCTTCATCTATCTGCTTTTTTTTTTCTGGAGTATTTAAAAATGTCACAAGCAGATGTTATTATAAGAGAATATTTGCAGTATTTCATTGGTTCAGTTGAATTTGCTACAGAATTTCAAGTATCTATCCAGTAACATCCATCTTGAGAATCTTGTAAGAATTTCTAACTCCAGGATATGTATGATTGTCTTCCGTAAGTATTGATAGGTGACTTCTATTTCTCTCCTGTCTGTGGGCACAGGTCAAGATAGCAGAGACATTGAAATGGGAAAAAGTGGGGGAATTTTTGCTCTGCAACAAAATGTGCTCATTGCTGGTCTGTAGTTATTAATAGTAAAAATTATTGATATCATTGTTCTGTTTTCTTTAGCCTTAATAAACACTAAGTTTTCTTAAATTATGTTCTCCTTAAGTCTTTCAGATCATAGAATGGCACTTCATTTATTTAGTTTTTTTGGAGATGGGAGTGTAAAGAGAACAAATCCTGTTTTGGTCATTTGTGTTTTTAACATGTTTTTAGTAATTTTAAAATTTTATTTATTTATTTTTACTGTTTGGGAATTGAACCTAGGGTCAATGATTGAATGCTAGAAAGATATTCTACCTCTGGGCTACACTCCTAGCCCCAAAGTAAATTTTTATTAAGGTAGAAATAGTATAGCTCGGACCTACTTCTACATGACTTAGTCTGAAATATGACACTTGCTATTATTTGGCAATGGTATTACTCATTATATTAGAACAAACCCATTGTGACTGGAATTTGCCATATGATTTCAATACAGATTTATATCCAATATAATAAAATCAGCACTGTTTGAAAGGAGTCATGATCAGGGCCAGGGATGGAGCTCAAAGGGATGATGTCTTGCCTAGCACATGCAAGCTCTACACGGCAGAAGTGGACTTATGATTTGCACTTTTAAAGTGAAGATTGTTTTTGGCTACTGGAGTTGATTAAAGTTGTAACCAAATCACAAATGTATTTTAATTTAAGCATTTATCTCCCCAAGTCTGGAATTTAAGGCATGGTTTAGGGAAGCTAAGCCTTAACTTGTTATGGCTGTTGTTTACCTGCAGGGCCAGGAATTATTAATAGAAATACTCCAGGTCTGGCTTTTGCTGGCAAGCTACAAGTTGGAACAAGAGGATCTAAGAAGTAACCATTACATTTTTTGATTTTGCATTTTTGAATGTAGAGAAATTTAATGAATTAATTGCCACTGCATTCAAATAGGTTAATGAGTAGGCCTCATCGTTCAGTGTATTTTTTTTTCCTTGGGGAAGCACTTTATACCCTTTTCCTGGGGGTTCCTTTCCTTCTTGTAGAGGTAGGAGGATGTAGTGTGATACTTGATTCTTCCTTTTTACACTTTGGGACTTTATATTATTTCTAGTTTCTTTTTTGTAGACCATTTATCTTCATTTGTAGAACAGTCTACTGTTGAGTCCTTATTTGTACATTATCTTACTTTGACCCTCTACCCAAGTGCTGGGGTGTAGACATATACTTTTTGCACCTTTGGAGAGGCTAAAGTCAGTTGTTTCAGGTTATCCAACTAATGAAAGACAGAGCTGTGATTTGAACCCATGGCCTTCTACACTCAGAACTTCTCTGCTTTACCACTATGATGTAAATAACAGGAAAGCATCCCTTGCTGTGTCCAGTAGAGGCTCACTTCAAATAATAACTAGGAAGATTGGTTTTTTTATAAGAGTCAGAGATTTTTGTCTTTGGTCTGATTGATTTCCACATGAATTTCTTCCTTATTGATTGAATTGCAGCTATGTGTCAGGCATATGGAGTGGACGGGATGTGCATCCCTCTGACTTTATATGATTGTAGTTTTTGGGCTAGCAGGGGAGCCACCCACATAACCAGGCAGCAGTTGGAGACGTGGTGAGGGGATGTGCTTAGCATGGGAGAGAAACCTACTCAAAGCAACTGCAGCCAGAGTACCAGGTGGGTAATGGTCAGGTCAGGCCTGATTCCTTCCTCACAGTTGGGTCTTGTCAAGTAAGAATGGACACTGGTTAAACAGGTCTCTTCTTGCCACCTGTTCATTCTTTCCACCAGTTTCTTCTCCTTTTTCTAAGGAGACAGGAGCACTCAATGGTTAAGGGCTGGGATTTAGTCACACCTCCTCACAGTTCCTTTCTCTAATGAAACAGACATTGTAACAGCAGATATTCATATAAAACCTGCTTTCTGAGCAGTATGGAGGTTCCTCAAAAGACTTCACATAGAACTCCCCTATGACCCAGCAATCCCACTTTTGGGCATTTACCCAAATGCTTACAAACAAGACCAC